ATTTTATGCAAAATACGTTTTTTTCCGGAAAACATAAAAACGGGTACAGGGATTGCTGAAAAAGTTATGAAATTAATCAGCTGAAATTTTTGTTGTGTGTGTTTTGTGAAATATTAAAATTGTTTTGACCTACATTTTTTAAAAATCACTGCATTATTACAAAATTTACAACCACTTGGATAAATATGTTATGTTGAATATGTTTTTTAAAGCAATTCTGTATAGTGACAAAAATAAAAAATTCTATTTTATGTAAAAAATTTAAATGTAAAAGAATTTATCTCTTAGGTCATTTTAAAAATGAAAAATAATGTAACACATATTAAAGTTGAAAAATTGATAATTCCTTCAGAATTTTTTTTTGTTCAAAGTATGCCCCGTGTATACAGTCTTTTATATCTTTCACCAGTATTTTCCCATTTTAAAACTGGAATATTTTTTCCTTCAAATTTTTAGCTTTTTCGTCATTTTATTCACTAAGAAAACTTGAAAGCGTCAAAAAATTCCTCTAATACCTTAAAATTTATAAAAGTGTGTGACAGTGTGCTTTAAGAGTATAATGATTGCTATACATGGTTTTACACTAATACTTCGTACAATTTTAAGTGAGCTAAAGAATTGCTAAACATTTAAATATTTTGGATTAAATGGTTAGCTTAAATGCTAGCATTTTTTTTAAAAGGATGAAAGAAAAATTAAAAGGATATTAGTAAAAATGAAGGAATTATAGTGTTAGCTCAGTAGGTTTGTAGGACCACTTCGGACGGTGATAGACAGCCGAATACAGAGTCAACAATTTTACCGTTGTGAATGCCCACATTCCCCATCAACTATTTTTCTTAACTTGCTTTCTGAACTGGGAGTTGGGTATGCAAGCAGAGTCTAATCACATCCCAGACTTGTTCGACTGGTGAGATATTAGGGAAGACTGGTAGCCAGAGAAGTATTTGTATATCTTACAAAGTACATTGTCGGATGGGTGCAGTATGAACATTCCCCGAAGAAAGGGGGATGTCACTATTCGCAGAACATCAACCGCGTATCTCTGGGCTTCATGATGCTTTGAGTACGAACCAGAGGAGACCTTCCATCGTACTCTATGGTGCTCCAAACAATGATGCCATGTTGTCGCTTGGTGTGGGTTTTCTGCAGATTCTGCCAGATTGGGCTTTTCACCACGTCGGTGTCATACTTGTACACTGTGACTGTCATTGAACAAAAAATGTGACCCGTCAGAGAACACGACCCTGTGCAGTGCAGGTTTATCTATTAGGCGCATAGGTCTGGCGCCCAGAGACCCGGGTTCCGGAAAGGACTGTAAGCTGGGCTTAATCTGATCTTCTGGTTATAAATTTCGATACGCCAGTCCCAAGGAGGCCTGTAGATCTTCTGCGCCCAGAGCCCGAAGAAATGAGCTTAAATCAGCCCTGAACGTAATGACATTCCATAGTCCACATCGCTCTCTGACTGGAACCATTATAAATGGAGTTTTCAGACAATCTTCTCAATGGACTCCATGAGTGCAATCCCTTTTTTTTTTACTAATCGACATGTAGTGGTTACAAAATGGAAGCAGATGTACCTTGGAGGGCTATCATCGCTTGTTGGTAGATACATTAATTCAATGTTGTAATTTCACTTTGGCACCCTTGGCACCCCTCAAACTTGCCATTCACTTGTTCCAACCATCTTAACCACATGCGGTGCACCATGGACATCTCTTAAGAGGATGTTAGCTGAAATTTGGTATTTTGACCATTCTGTTCTCCATTTAACTACCGTACACCTCGCAAAATACTCTGTCTGTTAGAATTTCTTCCATTGGTGGGAACCTGGGAATATTTGTAATTGCTCAAGTGCTCTGAAACAATAATAAAAAATTACGCAGTGGGCAGTATTTTCTTGCTGAAACAACGTCAAAGATGTTGATTCTTTTGAAATTTTCTTCTCTTATGTGTGCTCTCCTACTCAATATGTGACGGAGATATACACATTTTAGATTATACTCGGGGAGGTGCGTCTATCCTGGAATTTGCAAAATTTTCTAAACACTCGGTGGTGTTGTATGTTTAATATCACATAAGGTGTAAAAAAGCACTATTCCAGGCCTTTTATTTATATTAACTTCGAATAACTAAGTACTTAAAAATGGTATTTTTTTTCTTTATGTGTTTGAGACAGTAATTGATTTTTTTAGTTTTCTTTAATAAAAATCAAGACTTACGAAACTCAGATTTACTAACTGATTTTCTTTTGCTAAATAATTGCGCTTGCTTGGTATTTTACTGTTTTTATGGACTGAAAATATATTTAGGAATTAAAAAATCATATATGATTGCCTTTATATCGGCATTTTAATCTCATACAAGTTTGGGTTTAGTCCAGTGCTTCTCGAATTTTTAATATTTGCAACCCAATTTTCAATAATAATTCTCAACGCCCCCCTTCCTCATGCACCAACTATGTATTGTTTGCAATAATAATCTACTTCGACGCTAAAGCTACAACGTGACTTTAGTTATAAACTGCATAAATTATCAAGATAAGTAATATGTTTTGTTTATAATTTTGTACATGACAAGCCCATGGAAGTCACTAGAATTACTAAATTTTTTAAAATTTAGTATTGCCAAATTAATTTTCAAATACTTTTTGCTGTACTGATACATTTATATAAGCATCTTATATCAGTGTGAATATGTATTTTATTTGTTATTAAGTCAGGTTGTTTTTTGTTTTGCTTCTTTTCAGTAAATTGATAATTATTTTAAATATTTTATTTTCGACCTTTCAACATGCTCCCTGCCCCCCCCCCCAAGTGTGGGTTGTCTCGCCCCCCTATGGGGACGCACCTCACAGTTTGAGATACGCTGGTTTAGTGAAAACAAGGAAAGAGGAAAAAAGAGAGTAATCAGATGAAATTTACTCTAATTACTTCAAATTATTCACTTGGTACTTGGAAATTATGCACTTTCAAAAGTTCCTTGGGAGTATTCATTGTTATTCACCTTTAGCCTGTATGTATAGATGAATGTTATTTCGAATTTGTTCAAAAAAGCATTTCTAAAATCAGTTCTTCAGAAAAACTACTTATAATTAGTAAAAAATTTTGATCGTAAAAAAATTCGAGTGTACCATATCAAAAAGGGAAACGATAATTTGTTTTATAATTCCTTGGTAGAGTTACAATTTTAATTGGTGAAAACATTTACTGTTACTTTTTAGGAATAAAATATTCTAATAAAATGAACTGGTTAGAGGGAGCACACACACACAGTTTTAATTTTTTTCTTAAAGAAACATGATAAATATAGAAACATGATAAATAATAAGTAACAGAAGTACAGTTGGACCCCGATTTACTGAACCCCTATTTAACGAATTTCGCAATTTAACGAATTTTTCTCGTACCCCTTTTAAAATGGAGGCAAAAAACCCCTATTTAAAGAATAACAAACCCCGAATTAAAGAATTATGTTAACAACTGAAATTTGTTTTATTAATTTGCATTAAAAAACTATGGTTTTATTTTCAAATGACATATCCTCTTTGTCTGCAACAGATGAAGAACTATCTTGCATGCAGCAAATTTCGGTGCAGACCAATATTAGACTTTACAGGTGCAGTTTGAATAGGACAGGGAATTCCAATCTTAACTCGTCCCACTCCATAACGCCCAAGATATTTTAAGATTTTAACGATCGTGTTACATTTGATGACGGACTGTCTATCTGTGCAGCTGAAGTTGAAGAAATAGTTGATTTGTCGAAGACAATGAATAACGATTCTGATGCAGAAATTGATTAAAAAAACAACTACTATCAGAACTGTGTGTTACATTTTCTAAGGATTTACATTGTTTGGAAACTGTGAATACATATCTTATACAGCAAGATGTATAAGACTCACAAGGGGAGGGCACGACTAAGGAAATTCATTTGGGGTCAAGACTTGGTGTAATAGTAGTACTCCTTTAGGGTGTTCAACCCTCAATGTGTAATTCCTCCAAATGGCCAGTCAATTCGGAGAAATTAGCCTTCGAAATTCATGCTTAGCTTTTATACAATTAAAATTTAATTTCCCTAGCGACGCAGTGGCTCGATTGGTAAGACACCTGCCTTCAATGCCGGGGATGGAGTTCGAATCTCAAGCAAACAACTTTTTTCTTTAATTCCTTTAATTATTTTTTAAAATTAAATAAATTTATTTATGAAAAGTTTATTAAGTATTAAATGATATTCTATGTAATTATTTTGCATTTTATAAAGTAAAAAAAATTGCTGTAAATATATAAATATAGAGAAATAAATAACATTTATAATAAAATATATAATATATATTAAATGATATTTTATATAAAAATTATTTACAAATAGTTTTATAATGTGAAATACAATATACAATAAATAAAATATTATGTATAATATATAATAATTTATAAAATATATTATTATTATTATTATAAAATTAATTATTTTATAATTATATAAAATATTTAATAAGTCCTTTTTAAGTAAATTTATCTAATTTTAATAAATTTATTTAAATAATTTTAATTAAAAATTCATAATAATTGTAATTAAAAATTTACAATAATTTTATTTAATATTAATTGATTAATTTTAATTGAAGTTATAATAATTTTAATTAATATTAATCAATTACTTATAATTACTAACAATTTTAAATAATTTTAATGAATAATTAATTTTAAATCATAATATTTTTAAAAATTTAATGAATAATTAATTATAATTAATAATATAATTTTAAATAATTTTAATATAAATAATTATAGTTATTAAAATTAATTGTTAATTAAAATTATTATTTATTAATTACTTTGAATTAATAATAATTTTAAATAATTTAAATAATAAGCTTATTTAATTTTTTTACTTTATAAAATACAAAATAATTACATAAAATAACATTGAATATTTAAAAAAACTTTCATAAATAAATTTATTTAATTTAAAAAAATAATTAAAGGAATTAAATGTTGATAGCGTGAGATTCGAACTCCATCCCCCAGCACTGAAGGCAGGTGTCTTACCAATCGAACCACTACGTCGCTAGGGAAATTAAAATTTAATTGTATAAAAGCTAAGCATGAATTTCGAAGGCTAATTTCTCCGAATTGACTGGTCATTTAGCGGAATTACATTGAGGGTTGAACACCCTAAAGAAGTACTGCTATTACACCAAGTCTCGGCCCCAAATGAATTTCCTTAGTCGGACCCTCCCCTTGTCAGTATTTTCTTCTCTGCATAAAGTCGAAAAATAACTCTTTCGAGTCAGGAATAAAAAAGATTGTCAAACATCTAAGTGAGTGTTTTAAAGTTTCCAATTAACTGGTGCGCAATAATTCAGTAATAGTATTTTTAGCTGCGGAATAAAAGATGTGTAATTTTTAACTATAGATATTTTTTTGTGTATATATAATTGCTTATTATAGAATTTTCAAAAGGTAAGTGCAAAGAATTTTGAAATTTGTTTGGATCCCGATATAACGAATAACCCCAAATTAATGAATAAAAGGTCCGGTCTCGGTAAATTAATTAAATCGCGGTCCAACTGTATTTATTAGTTCGAAACTAAGTTTTTGGCATCTGATAGTTAATAGTAAAAAAGTGAGAAGACATTTTCAATAGGAATTTGATAGATTATAATGTACATCTACCAATAGTCAATACTTAGAATGCAAAGGAAAAACATAAGTCGAGAGAGAGAGAGAAAGAGAGAGAAATATAAGAAATAAAAATATACATAAAATTATATTTTTGAAAATATTATTTCTCTCGAAAATTACTAAAGAAAAATATGTAATTAAGTTAATTTTAATCAGTTAATATATAATTAAGTTAGTTTTAATTTATTAATATAATTAAGTTAATTAAATTATAAATTAATATTCATTTAACAATTTTTAAAATAAGTGATACTAAAAACAGACATTTTATTCCTTATAACGGGATTTGAATTGGTATGGAAAAAAAAAAGAAAGAAATTGGTATGGTAAATATCATATGATAGTGATTTTTTTTTCTGGAGTTTTTCTACACACAAAATAACTATGATCGACTCGACAAGAAGCCGAAAAAAAAAATAAGTTATTTTTAATATTTAATTAAAATGTTTTGTGAGCTGCATAGTTTTTAAAAATTTTATGTAGATAATTTTTAATAATTGTGATAGATCATATAATGAACAGACTTTTAACATTTGTAGTATCAAATTTGAAGTAACTTTTGAAGTGCACATTTGTGCATCTCCGGTTGTTTTTCGGTTCCAGATGCAAATGACATTCAAACTGAAATTTTGCGTGTAGTTTTATTTATATTACGACGATGACGTGCTTATTTTGCTGATTAATATAGTTATACTCTTAATTTTAGGTATATCATGTTTATATTCTAGTCAAAAATTCTAGAGTTGAGCCTCTGTAGAGAGGTCTGAGCTATATACAGGCAAAATATTAATACAATAGAAGCATTTTTTACAAAAAGAGAACATTTGGAAAAAAAGTTATTCTAAGTTAATTTTTTGCCAAAATATTGTATTTAAATAATTGTTTTTGTCATAATGTCCTTAAAATAATTTTATACATGTATTCTAATCTAAGTGACACTAAATATCATGAAAATTATACATTTATGTGCTTTTTTAAAATCATGGTTCCGAACGCAGTCGGATACCTTAAGAGAAATCCATTATAATTATTGTAATATTCTGATTTATAGAAATCTTAACGAGGAAAGAAATATAGAGGACATTATGCATTAAAGGGATTTTGTTTCTGGTAATTCAAGTAAAAGTAGTTCTAAACATGTAGTTTGGCTGATGGCGTTGATGTATTTGTTAAAAATAAAGATGAAGAGAGTATAAATGATACCACAGAGAGGTATAACACCAGATATTACAATAAACACATGTAAAGTGAAACCTGTACCACAATATTTTTCTGATATTCGGTATCATAAATTTGGACATTTCCCTCGATTTGTGACAGACAGATTTGCTTCGAAATGTAAATATGAAGGTTGTAAATGTAGAACTCGTATTTTATGTACTAATTCAAAATTTACTTTTACAAAAAATGGTTTTTTTAAAAATTTCATTTGAAAACTTAATTATAATACATTTCTTTCATTTTGAATAGAGATTTTTCAAAATAAATGCCATGGGGGTGAAGAAAAACTGGATTTTTTTTATTGTTACAGTTAAGATCTGAGATGCACATATGTATACGTCTCAACGTAATAAAAATATTTGTAGAAGTTTAATTTCTTTCCTAGCATTTGTACTTCTGAAAATACTAATAGAAAAATCGAACCAACCCAAATCTTTTCCCTTGCTTAAAATGTGTCAGATCGAAATGGGTTATAGAATATCTTCATCCTGAAATTAAGATGATTCAGCTATTTAAAAAATCAGTTTGAATAATTCAACCCAATTAATTTGATAAATATTTGCAGTGTCTTATTTCTTGTAATCTCCAATGTTTGTGTTTTTTTAATCATTATTCTGTTAAAAAATAAAATTCTGTGTGTGGTGGAATAAAATTAAATTTTTCCGAGCTCTATTTTTATTTTCATGTACTTTTTACTTTCTCTATTTGGTTTTAAGTTTAATTTCAAATGGAAAATGTGAAGATCTTTCTATTTTATTTTTATATAATCTCAAAACCACAAAAGAAAAATTCAACTAAAAAACTAGAGCTTATTTAAAAAAATTTTTGAAATTGGTGCTGTTCACACACACTGATTTTTTATTACAGATTTTCTCTAGAAAACTCTAAAATTTCTAATATTTTCCTTTTTACCTCCAGGAAATGATTTTCACAGAGAAGTTTAGTTTTTCACACCTTAGGTAGAATCGAAACTTCTAGGATTTTATAAAAATCTGATAGATTTTGGAAAAGTTTCTGGTTTAGTTTGTGTGTGACGAAATTTTTATGTATATTTCTTTCATATGTGTAGAAGCTGGGTACTTTTATGTTGTAAGTGCTATGTATTTTAATTACATAATAGTAAAGTTTTCATTCTATGGGTTACCGAATGTTTCAAAAAGTTTTTTTTCTCATTTTAAAATTTTGCTTACACATATTCTTTTCAAGGATTTGATAAAAATGGGAATTACATTCGAGATCCCATTTCTATCAGATTTAGTTATATTTTAACGGAAAACGAAGATTAAAAGACAATTTTTACTTACGATAATCATGCTACGATGGCTAATTTTTTAAAATCACACATTAGAATTTTAAATAAGTGTAAAGTTATAAATAATGATGTGAATTTTTTTTATAAATAATAAGTTGAATGTGGTTGAGACTTGGGACAATTGTAATGCTTTTCAAAATATTTAGATATAACGTAAATATTTTGGTGATAATAAACCCCAATGTGTGTATGTGATCGTACAAATCAGGTACTATAAAAAGAGAAATATGATATTTATTTGATTTTTTTGTTTTTGCTAAATTATAATGTTGACAATGGCAAAACTGGAGGATAACACAATCGTAATTTTTGAAAGGAAGATTCTAATGCAGTGGTTCTAACTGTGGAGCGCGCCCCCCTTAGGGAGCTTGATAACTCTACGAGGAGGGTGCGAGCATATTGAAAAGTCAAAAACAAAAAGAAAAGATTTAAAAAAATTACTAATTTACTTGAAGTAAACAAACAAAAAAGTACTTTCTGACATAATAAAAAATAGAGTATATATTTACACTGATATAATACACTTTTAAAAGTATCAGTACTGTGCACGATGTACTTCATAATTAAAATTAATTTAACAATACTAAGTTAAGAACAAGTACAATAATTACCAGTGATCCCATGGTTGTGTCATATATAAAACTATATACAAAAATTAATACTTATCTGGATAATTTGTGTGGTTTATAATTAATCCTTTAACTGTCGATTAAAAGTTATGCGATTCGCTCCCCAATGCCACCGTTTTCCTCGTAGGCGTCTTTATGTGATGTATTGGGGGGGGGGGCGGAATAAACAAGCAAATCCTCTGAAATAAGTACATCCTTCTCAAACACTGTCCTTTTACTGCATTCCAAAGCCTTCGGAATAATTTTATAGATAGCATTCTACAAAAAAGACTGTACTTTTGACAGACGTATATATACGTCTGGGGAATATAACGTTTTAGAGCGGAGTGAGACATTTGTATGCGCGGGGGGAATTTAAGAGGTTTAAATCCTATTGTAGCTTTAGCATCAAAGCATCGTGTATTATTGAATTCAATACATTGTTATTGTATGGAGGGGGGTGCGATGAAAATTGATTGAATATTGGGTCACTATTGAAAGTTTGAGAATCACTGTTCTACGGAGCATACTTGGTGATATAAATGAAAACGGTAATTGGAGAAGATTCAATTTTGAAATATGTAGGTTATACAAATAACTTGACATTCAATACATTCAGATAAATGGAATGAGCTGGATAGCCCATGTGACTCGCGAATGCATGATGACAGCACATAAAAAAAAAAGTCTTGCTTTTTAGACTGACTGGAACCACAAGTCTGAGAAGACAATGGCTGAGATGGGTTGATTCGTTGGAATTTGAATTTCTTGCAAGTAATGAAAAGAAGACCCGGAGATCCAAGATCAAGCGAAAGTCGTTATGGTGAATTGATTGATTGAATATTAACGTCGCACTGTTCATCTACACGAGGGCTTTTAGCGACGGGCCTCGTAATTTTAAACCATGGTCAAGTGACGAGGACGACACTTGAGCTGGCACCCCTCTCCTAACTACCACACCAAAGGGATGACGTTTGAGCCCTCGACAGATTTAACGCACATCGCTTCCCTACACGGCGGGTCCTTAGTGGTACTGGGCTCGAACTCATGACATGTCTGCCATGATCCAATACCTTGACCACTGGGCTACCGCAGCCCCGTGGAAGTTTGGTGTGTATGTGTGATTAAGATAGTTAGTATCAAGGACTGTACAATTCTCTCTCTAAATTATCATACAGGATAATTACTATATTGATACTCTAATGTATCTGCAAGTAATGAGTTCAAGAGAAAAATGC